CACGTCGACGGGTCAAACTCAACCATGGGTGTCCTGTTACTAAACTTTAGTAGGTGTGGCTGTGGGTTGGGTGTGGGTGGCTATTATGTAAATAGATACAAGTGGGTGTGGCTGTAGGTTGTGTTGCTGGGCGTGTGGGTGTGGCTGTATGTCGTGATGCTGGGTGGGTGGCTATTATGTAAAAAAAAATGAGTGGGTGTGGGTGTGGGTTGCGTTGGTGTGTGTGTGGCTATTATTTTAGTAAGTGTGAGTGAGTGTGGCTGTCGATTTTGAAGCTGTGGTTGTAGGGGTCGTATAAATAAGCTTGAGTGGTAGTGGCTGTGGGTTTAAGTGTGGTTGTGGTTGTGGTTTTCGTGTAGGGTGTGGGTGTGGGTGTAGATATGCGTGTGTTTGTCGTGGAGTCTGTGGATATTAAGATTCTGGGTGTGCGTTGTCTTTATATGGAGACTGTGATTATGTAAGTGTGTGAGTGTGGTTGTCATTGAGTCTATAATTATGTTAGCTTGTTAGTGTGGTGTTTATGTAAATAAACTTGAGTAGTTGTCGCTGTGGTTTTTGAGGATGTGAGTGTGGTGTTCGTGTAGGCTGTCGTCTCGTAGGTGTGTGGGTGTTGGTATGTATGTGTCTGTTATGGTGTCTTGGCTTATGTTAGGGTGTTCGTGTGGTTGTCGTGTAAATAAATGTGAGTGGGTGTTGCTGTCGTGTAAATGTAGTTGAGTGGCTGTAACTATGAGTTTTGATGTGGGTGTGGTTGCCGTTTAAGATGTCGTTATGTAAGAGTGTGGGTGCGGATATGTGTATGTTTGTCGTGGAATGTCCGGTTTGATTAGCTTGTGGATATGGTTGCCGTGAAGAGTTTCGTTATGTGAAATTGTGAGCTCTAGGTGTGGTTGTGGAAGAGGGTGTAGCTAAGAGTGTGCGTCTATCGTTTTTTTGCTTACAATGATACTCACACGCAAAAATAACTGAAACAATTGAAATTTTCTTGATTATTACAATGAACTCAAGATAATCGATTAGTAGTTCGTGCAAAAACTTGATTCTAATTTACTTTCGCCCGAGACAAAATAAATACATTGAAATCCATTTCACCAATTATAATCAGCTTTCTTCAGGAAGTTTTAATTGTTTATAATCGCAATTTTATCGTAAGAATCAAAGAAATACTAGTTTTTTTCAGTTATTTCCGCTTAAAATTGATTAAAGGCGTGTCACTGTAATAGATTTCTAACTCTTTTTTGTGGAATTTAGTCTGATTTTTACCGTATCTATTTAAATAGGTTGTACCCGACAAGAATAATGATGCATACTAATCGAAAATTCAAAACTTATTTTAAACTGAATTTTATAACAAATATTAAGTTCTAGAGTTGGATCGATACAGATACAACACCAGCAAGGGTGTGGATGTCGACGTGAGTATGGGGTAGGTGGACAAAAAGAGACATGCACACGTACATCCACACCCACACTCACACCCACGATCTACAGCAAAACAAGGATATTATGAGTCTTTGAATATACATTGCACATAATTTCATTCATGACAGGTATATCAAAAGATAAAAGAGATAGTTCTTTTAATCGAAGACCCGATAAAAGTGTCCCCAAATACGAAATTCTCTCTCTTGTTTCAATCTTTGGTGCAGACCAGTAATCATTGTTTTTAATAGTTCTTTCTTTGCCTTGTTCATTGACCTTGGGTTTTCCCAGGCAATCGCATATGGATGACTTGTATTTTTCCAAAAATACGCATCTTTTTCAGAATAGATGTGGTCCACAAGAATCTCAATCAGACCTTTAAAACGTGGATCACGACCGTAAGCTTCATACGGATAGATAAACATGACAGGAATATTCAACGCTAAACAAGGTAGAAGGACATGCAAACGACTAGTTAGAACTAATTTCGAGTTAAGAAGCTCGTCAAATCGTTTTTCAACTTGTTCAAAATCATTTAATTGTTCATCAGTTTGATTGATATTTTCTGGTGTATATAATGCCGTACTCCATATTACATTATCGCGTAAGATATCTGGCGGTACAAGAATATTTGTTAAATTATTTTGAACATCGACAATAAGAATAGACTTCTTCGTGACGTTAAAAAATCGTGTGACAGATTGATATTTCAAAGTGGTTGTTAAACATCCAGAAAGCCATGTAGATATGTTTTGCTTCTCCAATAACTGTAAAGTTACCATGTCGCGAGCTCCAACAGGGCCATAATTGTCATATGTTTTTCTACTTTTTATCATCACCGGCGCTACTCGATCGACAATATGCATCGAAATATAAACTGGTCTGAAATGATCAGGTGGTGGCCAGCACTTTTCTTGTTCTAATTTTGGACGAACTAATGCCCACCAAGCATTCATCAGAATAGAGACCGATGTCAAAGAATCGTTTCTAAATGTGCTTTGTCCAAATTTCATCTGATACAGTTCTGGAAGATTATGCAGATTGTCTCTTGCATAAAATCGATCAATACAAGGATAATATTGAATCGATGCCCATGATTGGATATAATCACCGTTATTACCATGATTATGATTGTATTGATACACCAATTGTCCCATATGAATTCTGTCTGTCGAAGCATGGAAACAGGAAGCCTGTTTTAAAGATATCAAACTTTTCGGTAAAGAAGTTAAACGATCAATTAAGGAATTTTTGATTGGAATAGGAGTTGCTCTGGGTACACGAACAATTGGAAAATGTATTCCGTATCGATGCTGATCATTTTGCCATGCTGCCCACTGTTCTGACGAATTTTTTGACGTAAACCAATTAGAAAACATTTCTTCTTCTCTGTCGAATCCGTAGAAAGTATTCGCAGGCAAAATTTGAATGGAATCTTTGGTGGCTGATAAAAACTTGATTAAAACTTTCCATAATATTAATTCTGCATCTATTGCCATTACATCTTGATTTTGATAAGCATGCGATAGATGTATCAATAGTTGCTTGATCAGAGGATGTTGACTAGTCATGATTGATAAAAAATCTAAACTAATTCGATTGCTATTTCGCTGAACTAGAGTAACATTTGAAGTCGAGGATAGAGTTATTATTGGTTTGATTAAAACAATATCATGCGATATATATATTCCACCTCTATGCCATAATAATACTATTGAATAAATAAGTTTAAGATGTTTGAACATTGGAATTGTATGATCAGAAGGATTGTAAGAGAGATTCATATGATCGAATGTCATTAATGTTTTCATTGCTGTTCGATATTTCCATTGAACATGCGCATTTAACCACCATTTTAGTGGCGTTTGAAAGATCAATGCTGAGTCTAATTCACATATACGTAGATTGGGAAATGTTTCCGGTATTTTCAGTGTATCATGCCCCACAATGTATAAATAGAATAGTGTTTTAGGGTGTAATTGATGCCAGTGATGTAAAAGGTTCTTTGATAAACATGATAATTCAGTCACACCCGGTTCTGGTAATTCAATTGAGAAATAATGATCGTTGACTTCGTTGTTAGGAGACGATTTCGATTCAACATATCTTTTTATTCCTAATATATTATATTCACATAACCGCTGCTGGAGACCGCATTGCACCATATTAAGGGTATGGCATGATTTTGTTTGCAAATAATAATAGATGATACTAAGAAATACTGTTGTAACTCCACTTATAACGAGAATCGATGCAGAGTATTGACTCATTCTATTCCTATGAAAGTATATGTCTAGAGAAAATTCGGTAAAAGAAGAAAATATATAAAAAAAAGAAACAGTTCAATCCATATCATACTATTATTATTGGTAAACGACAGTGTGGTGATACGCACGTTACTTTCATATACACAATATTATTCCTTTTACTTTTACTTATGATGCAGTCTTTCTTAGCTTGTATAATTTCTCCACGCGCATGGCCTTTTACGCATAATTATATCTCGTTTCGTCTTTTTCTTCATTCACTCTCTGTGTAGGCAAGGCAAGGTAATACTTTTCGAGTGTACACAACTATCAGCACGTTGTCTAATAAAGACACGAAAAAAGTGTTTCATCTTGTTTCACTTCGCGTTCATCTATTCTTCTACTGATTTGAGAGAATTCTATCTTTGTAAATTCTTGGGTCATGCTCTTTCAAAGGTTATATTTTCGATCTATATTCTTCGATATTCTGCTGAATAAGTCAGTAGTCTTTTACGACGAACTATGTTCGTTATTGTTGCGTGCTAATATCGAACTTTTTTAAAAGTACCAACGACTATTTTTTTGAGTAACTATAATTAGCTTTACACGTCTTTTCTATGGTTGTTTACCGACGAATATCTTTTCAGTTGTCTATTCGCATGAACTTCAATCAGAAACTGACGCCTAATTACACAAAAAGGTAGCCGAAATCATCTTGTATTGATGTAAAAATTCTACCATTTTAACATCAAGACGTAAGGCAGAAAGTCGAGGTTAAAATACCTCTTCTTTGTTTCTAGATGCTTAAAATATATAATTTCTTTTTGCTCTTTTTTAGTATTTCGTTGTTGACCTATGTATTGTACTCCTCAGAAACAAGATACAGTGAATAGTTATAAACAAACAAATTTGTTTCGCTTTTCATTCGTCAATCTAGGGTTGTCAAAAAATTAAGATCGATTCGGTTCAGTTTATCTTATACTTGAAGAAAGATGCATAATTCTTCAATCATCGATCGTCAGAGGAGCATCCACAGGGCATTATCCACATTACTCCGATTCTTAAGGTTCTGTCTTTTTGGTTGCTTTGGCAGGTCGTTCAAAACAAAAGGAATGGCTGTGAAAATATTTATCATTAGTGTTGTTGTTTCTTGTGAATGGTGGTTTGGAATATTAGCAATGTCTATATCGTTATTTCAATTTCAAAATAAAACAGTCAGTACTGATTCACAGCATTCAACAATACACTTTCCAATTGACATGGTTTATCATGAACATCCGTATCCATTTGCAATTAAACGCAACTTTCTAGAACAGAATTTGTTTTCTGAATTGGCAAGAGACTTTCCAGCAGTACCAGAAAGTGTTGTAAAGAAAAACAATTCGAGAGGAAACAAGTCTGTTTTTTTCAACACCACTGAATATGATCTTATTTTAAGAACCTCAGAAGCTTGGAGACGCTTGCATTACTTTGTTCATTCACAAGCAATGATTGATTATGGAATGAAGTTCTATGGTCGCCCCCTTCAAGATCATCCAGAATGTATATTACATGTCGACAAAGCTACTTATAAAGACTTTATTGAAAATCATTTTATGGTAAAAGATTCTGTTTTATTCGATCACCGGTATCAAGTTCAGCTAGGTCGATCCATTGAGATCGAAGGCAAACGTTATGATCGCAATACACTCTTCTCAAGAATGGATTTCTTTCATGGTCCCCCAGAACGGTACCATCTAGGGCCTCATTTGGATTGGCCTCATCGAGTCTTCACTATTTTAATTTACTTTACCGACACAAACAGTACTACTGGTGGAGCTCTTAGGATTTTGGAGAGGAACGGCGATGGAAATTTTAGAACGATTGAAACAGTGTATCCGAAACTTAATACGGCGGTGAGTTTTCTATCTGCATTACCTTCTGCTTGGCATGAAGCTGAAATCTTCAGAGGACCTGGCTTTCGTAAGCTTATTCAAATTCAAGTATCTGCTCATTACAGTGTCTGTCGCTCAGACTCATCATCTATACGTCATCCAAAGCCATAACAAATAAACAACTTTCAGTTTTACGTCGCATTCTTTTTGTTCGCCTGTTCATTATTCTCAAGCACAACAGTTATTAAGAGGGCGTTCGTCGGAAGGGATTCCACCTGTATGCGCACTTCGTCGAAGAAAAAGAATTTTTTCAGTTTTTTCTCCTTAAATCATATATCTAGTCAAACAACATTCAAAGCTAACATATTAGGTCTTGACGATGCACTTACGGTGGGTGTGGGTGAAATATAGTACTCACACCCACACCCACACCCGTAGTATTTATTCGTTAAACTGATCCTCACATCCTCAATGTACCATTAGCGTCATCACGTTAGCGAAACCATGTGGTAATATTAAGATTGGAGAGCTTGGCAAACAGTTTGAGGTCGTTATTGTAAAGACTTTGCAAATATCCAGCATCCGTTTCGTTGAGAACAATTCGAGTATTTAAGTTAGACGATATGTGTGGGTTTAATTGTTTATTCGGTTTCCAAAAGCTTGGCACTCCTAAAAACTTCGATACTTGCTGCAAAATTCGCTTTGGATTTGCTTGTAGCTCTTCCGAAAGAAGTAGCAGTAATTGATCACGCGAAAATAAACTTAATGTTTTTTGTAGCTGCGCACCGTAAAAGCCACGCTCAACATAACTATACACACTATGGTAGCCCGGCATTTCGAGATTGTTTGCAACACGAACTCGACCCTCCCTGATCGCCCAAGAGAAGGACTCGTTTTCCCGATGGCGAGTATATGCCATCTTCCATTGGGACCACGCTCTCTGAACTGGTTGGCGAAACAAGAGTATGAGCTTTATGTCAGGATTGTAACGCTTGATACGTTTTAGGCTGTTCGGCCAGTAAATGTAAATTGGTGTGGCTTCTCCTGTGATATTTGAGTGGGTACAGTGACCGACTTGAGACTCATAAGCCCCATAATTAGGCACAGTCCAATTGTGACTCTCGTTATCGAAAAAGTGAAGTTCTTTCCGTTTGGATACACATAGGTGTTTGTGTTGTTTTAGGTAATGATAAAGAGCTGTGGTGCCACATTTCTTCACTCCAGCAATAAGGAAACTTAATTTGTTAGTAACAACAGTTTGTTGTGTAAGTACTTCGATGGTATTATAAGTTCGGCGACTTTTCACGTTCAGACGAAGCTGCTCGATACGTACTTTTGTGTGTTGTTTGACGTATCCATGACAAACATATATAATTAACAAGATCACCAGAAAGAAATAGCACAAATGTCGGAGAGTGCCGATATTTGGACCATTTATTCTGTGCATCTTACTGTTAAGTTATTAATCATAATAATTCCAAACTATCCTATACAGAGAAATACACAAGAAAGAGTCGAATCATAAAGACTTAAATGTAAGAAAGTAAAGATGCTTGTATTATCGATCCTCCAATAACGTCTCGATACGTGGGAGTATCAAAAAGTAATAGCGAAGGTTCTCTCCTTTTGTTACAAGGGTAAGGGTGTGGGTGTGGGCGTAAATGAATACAAGACTATGTGTCACCCACACTCTCATAATTTAGTGAGGCTATTTTAGCCGACCCGTTACTTGTTTGGGTAACGAAAAATATTAAAAAAAAAATTCGAAAATGGATCGAAAGAAAGAACAAGAAAAAACAAAAAAAACACAACATTCGAATGATTTTATGCAGTATTATTATCAGCAGCCAGAGTTTGCCAAAAACGTTTTTTGTCAGAGTTTTATTACTATGCTTTCTAGTGGAATACTGATCAAATAGCATAGAAAGATAGAGTTAATAAAGCTATATCTATTCGTAAAAAAGATACTTTTTTGATAGCTATTTATAAGAAAGAAGAAAGCCTCCACCGATAGTTTTCGATGACTGTAGGTATGATGAGTTCTCTTTTATCGACAAATACAAAGATATTCACTTCCAAAAAAAATAATATTTTCACAGTATCGCTATAGTGTAGGGATGTGGATTTTTTGTCGTTCTTGTGACTAAACAAGCCATTTCGTCGTAGCCATATGCGCAACGATACTTCTAACATGCTTCAGTGACTTCATAAAAGAAAAAAATATTTTATATCAATCTTGTTCTGTGCGTCTCAACAAATGCGTACGCAAACGTGGAGTATTGCATCAGAATTATAAATATTGGAAGTTTCGTCTATATACGTTTAAATGTTCGCGACTAGAAACGGTGGAGGACATAACTAACAGCTCTGGTCCACTAACGTTTTCTTGTCAAACTCCATACAATTATATGGACAAACTCCCATTAACGGAATTTCATTCTTTACAAAGCAATATGTGTACCTCTTCAAAGACTAGAGCAAATTCTCTGAAATTTTCTCTAGGAGTATAAATCATTTAATTCTATTATTAGTGAAAATTCCGTTAAATATTACCGACCTGAAGTTGAGTTATTGAGAATATGGTGAAATTTTGTAACAATTTATTTTCAAGGACTCTGTTTCAGGTAAATAACATTTAACAGAATTTTTACTGGTAATAAAGTTTAATGGTATCTACTTACAGAGAAAACTTCAGAGAGTTTGTTCTGGTTTTTGAAGAGATATAGACCTTGATATATGAAGAATGAAACTCCGTTATATGCGTTGTTGTCAATATAATTATATGAAGGTTTGTCAAGAAAAACGTTAGTAAACCAAAACACCTCCTTCTGCTCTCGCATCCTTTCGAAAATTATTGTTACGAAGTGCCACGTAGAAATCCTGCAACCGGTACGGGCTGTCGATAATTTCTATTTCAGGAGTGAAAATATCATTCTTCAAAACAGAACAGCATTGCTCCGTTTTTGACCACTAAATTCATACTAACAGAACAATTTTGGTCTGCTTTGCAGAATGATGTTTAGAGATATGTGGGACGAACTTTTTTGTGTCCCGATTGTTGAAAGAAATATAAAGAACTGCTTCATGAAAAGATATATATTTTATTTACAAAATCAGTCGAAAAATATGCCGTTACATAGGATTATTAGACAAGTGTGAATATTCTATCCATTCAATACTCACACACCGTATTTATTTCACTAGTATTCGTAAAATTTTATGTGCTTTGTTTTAGATATTATCAAATATTTCCATTTGTATTGCTCGAAGAAAAATCGCGACAGGCGTTAATTGTTCCGACTTTGTATAAAATATCATGAAAACGATCTTCATCAAATGGACATGTACGCGCTTATATAGTGTGCGCATATGTATTCTGTCTGTATTGACGGTATTAATGTTCACTATGTACTCATTGTAAGTAAACTAACTAGAAGAATAACGAGAAAGTAGACACTGACGTAATCATTTTGATTGTTTATTTATGATATTTCATAAGATACCATGTTCAAGCAGCTTTGAGACCAGGTCTTAAATATGTGTGAGAATATAGGCATGGGTATTCTATGTACAGATATGTTCACGCCTATACTCTTAACAAAGAATTTCTACACCTCAGCACTTGAGAGCGAGTGGGTGTGCATCTTATTTATCTCACCCATAGTCTTACCGACACCTAAACAATCTAAATGATTACATTCATATCGACTATTCTTCACTGATTGTATTCATCTTATTGTTAAAAAAACAAAAATGATTCAATTAATGTGAGTAAATTCTGAGTGAAAGTTTATTTCTATAGGAGAATACACAATTGTACATCATGTAATATCTCAAGTGACGGACATCCAAACAAAAAATTTGATCAAAATATGATACAATTATCAAGAAATCGCTGTACTCCGAAAAAGAACATCTTGTTTTTGAAGACACACAAAACTGGCTCTGCAACCATCGCTAACATTTTCCTACGATATGGAGATAATCATAACCTCACTTTTGTGTTACCACCGAAATTTTCGTATAGGTTCGATGGTAAAAAAGTTTTTAATCGTGATATGTTATATCCAAGATCAAAGGCACCCAGATACAACAAAACATTAGTTCCTAGTTCATACAATATTTTTGCACGTCATGCAAGATTTCATTATAATGAAATGAAGGCTATCATGCCGAATGATACCATTTTTGTTACTATTCTGCGAAAGCCTGTTTATGCACTACAGTCTCTTCTTTCTTATATTCATTTGGAAAGATTTTACAAAGAAAAATCTTTTGATCGTTCTATGGAGAGATTTTTTGCAATTTCACCAAATCTTTCAACCTATCATGCTTTATCAAACAAGCGCCTCCATGGACAATTTGGACGCAATCAAATGTCTTTCGATCTAGGCTTGGAAACAGAAGACTTTGATAGAGAAGAAATAGTCAGCAGATTTATAAAACAAATCGAATCGCAATTTCATTTGGTCATGATTACCGATCGCATGGAAGAGTCTTTAATTCTTCTACGACACCTACTGTGCTGGCCTCTAGATGACATGATAGCTTTTCAACACAATCTACGAAACGTGAAATTATCATGCAATTTATCAGCAGATATGGAAGCCAGAATACGTAATGTTAATATGGCCGATCAAAATTTATATGATTATTTTGGCACTAAATTTCATCGTCAAGTGTCTGCGTTTGGTGAAAAGGAAATGACAGATGAAATCTTTTTATTAAGGAACGCAACACAATCCATGTACAACAGATGCGTTGAAAAAGAACTTCCTATGAACTATATAGTAACATCAAATTACACCTGGTATAGTAATCTGATACTGGGCTTTAAGCAAAAACCAAATACCGACAAAATCTGTAGAGATTTAACCATGTACAGTCATTATTACATAGATTACCTGAGAGACAAACAAAACAAGAGGACATAGCGAAAAACAACTGTGACTTTAGCGATTGTTGGCATCGAATATTGCTGGATTTAATTTAATATAATCGATATGTGACTTTTGACAGAAAAATCAGAAAGTTTAATCTGTAAAATATACTAGATTTAGGTGTCGATTTGAAATATACTGAAAATAAACGATATCATACATTATGAATGCAGAATGCTGCTCTTGTTAATCGTATTCGAACAATAGGATTCAAGGGATAAATATTAACGA